TTTTTTTAAATATTTTCATTTTTTTATTAAATTTTTACTTTACTTTTAGGGGCTTCGGGGAAATATTAGGGGTCTGCACAGACCCCTGATATTTCCCTTTTAAAGTAGAAAAAGATTGAGGACACAGAGTCCTCCAATCTCTTTTTATGTATCCCTTGTTATCAATGAACAGGAATCCTCTATACTGAGTGTTCCTGTTCATACATAACATGAGGACAGAGTATGTTTACTATATCCACAACTATGAATGGACAGGAGGGGATATAGATCACTTCCCATTCATTCATAATTGAAGATATAGTACACATACCATGTCCTCAATTATCTACAAACACTCAGCGATCACTGATCACTGACTGCTTGTACCCGCTCTCCTCTCTGACACGCTGTCACAGGAGGCTGAGCGGGGCGGTGCAGGGAGGAGAGCTCAGCCTCCTGTGACAGCGCGGCCTGTCTCCGCCCCCACACCGCTCTGCCGGACTGTGATAGGAGGCTGTGAGTGGTCTGGGTGGAGACACCGGCCGCTCACAGCGCTCGGCCGGCTATCACAGTTTCTCTCCTCCCCGCTGGTACACGGGAAGGAAAGAAATCATGGATGCGCCGATGTATTGGCAGAAAAATGGCACTTTCAGCATTATGCCAAAAGTGCCATCTTCGGCCGATATGTTTCCATGGCTGATATATCGGTACATCCCTAATTTACACCTGTGTGTTCCTCTGATCTATCCTGGCATGTATTTGTATCCGTGTGTTCCTCTGATCTATCCTGGCGTGTATTTATACCCGTGTGTTCCTCTGATCTATCTTGGCGTGTATTTGTATCCGTGTGTTCCTCTGATCTATCCTGGCATGTATTTGTATCCGTGTGTTCCTCTGATCTATCCTGGCGTGTATTTATACCCGTGTGTTCCTCTGATCTATCCTGGCGTGTATTTATACCCGTGTGTTCCTCTGATCTATCCTGGCATGTATTTGTATCCGTGTGTTCCTCTGATCTATCCTGGCATGTGTTTGTATCCTTGTGTTCCTCTTATCTATCCTGGCATGTATTTGTATCCGTGTGTTCCTCTGATCTATCCTGGCGTGTATTTATACCTGTGTGTTCCTCTGATCTATCCTGGCGTGTATTTGTATCCGTGTGTTCCTCTGATCTATCCTGTCGTGTATTTATACCCGTGTGTTCCTCTGATCTATCCTGGCGTGTATTTGTATCCGTGTGTTCCTCTGATCTATCCTGGCGTGTATTTGTATCCGTGTGTTCCTCTGATCTATCCTGGCATGTATTTGTATCCGTGTGTTCCTCTGATCTATCCTGGCATGTATTTGTATCCGTGTGTTCCTCTGATCTATCCTGGCATGTATTTGTATCCGTGTGTTCCTCTGATCTATCCTGGCGTGTATTTATACCCGTGTGTTCCTCTGATCTATCCTGGCGTGTATTTGTATCCGTGTGTTCCTCTGATCTATCCTGGCATGTATTTGTATCCGTGTGTTCCTCTGATCTATCCTGGCGTGTATTTGTATCCGTGTGTTCCTCTGATCTATCCTGGCATGTATTTGTATCCGTGTGTTCCTCTGATCTATCCTGGCATGTATTTGTATCCGTGTGTTCCTCTGATCTATCCTGGCGTGTATTTATACCTGTGTGTTCCTCTGATCTATCCTGGCGTGTATTTGTATCCGTGTGTTCCTCTGATCTATCCTGGCGTGTATTTATATCCGTGTGTTCCTCTGATCTATCCTGGCATGTATTTGTATCCGTGTGTTCCTCTGATCTATCCTGGCGTGTATTTATACCTGTGTGTTCCTCTGATCTATCCTGGCGTGTATTTGTATCCGTGTGTTCCTCTGATCTATCCTGGCGTGTATTTATACCCGTGTGTTCCTCTGATCTATCCTGGCGTGTATTTGTATCCGTGTGTTCCTCTGATCTATCCTGGCGTGTATTTGTATCCGTGTGTTCCTCTGATCTATCCTGGCATGTATTTGTATCCGTGTGTTCCTCTGATCTATCCTGGCATGTGTTTGTATCCGTGTGTTCCTCTGATCTATCCTGGCGTGTATTTATACCTGTGTGTTCCTCTGATCTATCCTGGCGTGTATTTGTATCCGTGTGTTCCTCTGATCTATCCTGGCGTGTATTTATACCTGTGTGTTCCTCTGATCTATCCTGGCGTGTATTTGTATCCGTGTGTTCCTCTGATCTATCCTGGCGTGTATTTATACCTGTGTGTTCCTCTGATCTATCCTGGCGTGTATTTGTATCCGTGTGTTCCTCTGATCTATCCTGTCGTGTATTTATACCCGTGTGTTCCTCTGATCTATCCTGGCGTGTATTTGTATCCGTGTGTTCCTCTGATCTATCCTGGCGTGTATTTGTATCCGTGTGTTCCTCTGATCTATCCTGGCATGTATTTGTATCCGTGTGTTCCTCTGATCTATCCTGGCATGTATTTGTATCCGTGTGTTCCTCTGATCTATCCTGGCGTGTATTTATACCTGTGTGTTCCTCTGATCTATCCTGGCGTGTATTTGTATCCGTGTGTTCCTCTGATCTATCCTGGCGTGTATTTATACCCGTGTGTTCCTCTGATCTATCCTGGCGTGTATTTGTATCCGTGTGTTCCTCTGATCTATCCTGGCGTGTATTTGTATCCGTGTGTTCATCTGATCTATCCTGGCATATATTTGTATCCGTGTGTTCCTCTGATCTATCCTGGCGTGTGTTTGTATCCTTGTGTTCCTCTGATCTATCCTGGCGTGTATTTGTATCCGTGTGATCTTCCGATCTATCCTTCTATCTCTAGACATGTCTGTATGGGTTTATGTGGCTCAATATTCACCAGCTTGTCACTTTTATAACTCCAGGTTTTCCAAATGTCACAGTGGCTCCATCATGCGACTTGGAAACTTCTCGTGGTCCCATAGCACTGAAAAGAGACCCTCCTACTCGCCTGTCCATCCTTAGCGAGAGTGTCATGGACTCCCAGGTAACATGAACCAATTGTTTGAAGCTAAACTCCAGGCAAGCTGCTAAAGGCCCATTTTAAACTCTATACAGGCTGTTTTACCCATCAAAGGATTTGCAATTCTCTCTAGCCAAATAATATAGCAAGGCTGGTGACCAAACACTTCTCTGCGACAGTTAAGCAATACAACCAGGTCACCTCCCTGCCCCTGGCTTGTGAGTGGACAGTGAAGGAGCAGCAGCAGACTGGTAAGGTCATCCCTCTGTCACTGTGACCTCTCCTCCTTTTTAGTATGGTTCTTGTCATCACATGTGCATGCTGCATGCCCTATTGACTTCTATTGCTTCTCCAGTGTGCTGTGATCTCAGAGTAAGCAATGTCAGTACAGGAGAGGAGCCAGTAACTGTGCAAGACTGAAGGGAATGCTGTAGCTCTGCTTTCATGTTGCTGTAACAGACTTATTTCCTAACTACTGTATGTATTAGGAAAGCAACGATACTAATATCGGTGCCAATACCAAGTATTTAGGCACGCACTCTTACTCGCCCAAATTCTCTGATACTTATCCCGATACCGGAACTTCCAGTCAGAGGGAGATCTCCTCTGACCGTCAGTGCAGCGAGGGAACATGGAGCCAATCAGAAAGCCTGGCCGTGGGTAATAACTGGTGGCCCGGCTTCCTGATTGCTCCATGCTGTCGGCTCGATGCTGATTGGCTGGGAAGCCGGCTTTCCAGCCAATCGCCATAGAGCCGGCTAAACAGCATGGAGGGCGTCTTGCCGGCCAATCAGGAAGCTGGGTCGTTGGTAATGACCCGCCTCCTGGCTTCCTGATTGGCCAGGAAGCTGGTTCCATGCTGATTGACCAGGAAGGTCGCTTCCCACCCAATCAGCATGGAGCTGGCCAAACAGCATGGATCCTGCTTCCCAGGCAATCAAGAAGCCGGGCAGCGGGTAATGACATGCTGCCTGGCTTCCTGATCTCCCGGGAAGCTGGCTCCATGCTACCGAAAGTACCAGTGTCAGTACTCGGCATCGGTGAGTACCGATTATTTTAAATGTTGGGACTCGTATTCAATACGGAAAAAAACGGTATCGGTGCATCCCTAACATAAATATGTGATCTAGTTTGTTTAGATGTTTTATATATTTTTTTTATTTGATTTAGGCTCTTAATGAAGTGGATGAGAGTCAGTCAGAGGACAGTGATGATGAGGTGGATGTGTCCATTAGTTTCCAGCCCGGCCTTAGAACTGACAGGTGAGTTGTGTCCGTCCAATCATGAGATTTGCACTGCCCTGCTTGGCAGAGCAAGAGGCCCGCTTTTTCTCAACTGCAGTTTCACTTTCACTTAAAGTGACATTAAACCCTCAGATTTTTTAACATAAAACAATACTGTAATGTGCGCCTTACTGTAATCCATGGTAGTTTCCCTTCTCTTTGCTGCTCTTCCTTTTAAATCCGTATCTCTTCTCATGCTGGGCAGAACTTCTGTTTTGCAGCAGACTGCCTTGTCTCAGGAATGGATACATGGTGTCTGTGTGTAGGTTCGCAACCTGAGCCAGCACTACAGGAAGAGGCACTCAGCTGCAAAGGGAAGTTCTCACCAAGCATGAGAAGACATGAGGATTTAAAATGAAGAGCAGCAAAGAGAAGGGAAACAACCATGGATTACAGGAAGGCGCACATTACAGTATTGGTTTATGTTTAAAAAAATCTGAGTGTTTAATGTCACTTTAAGTCTCATCCCCACCTTCACCCTCTGAAAGGAGATGAAAGCTGGCGATGATGAGCTCATCGCTCTGTTCTTTTTCCCTATTGGCGTGCTCCTTGTACTGCAGCATAACGGATTGGCTTATCATGCTGCTTCTCCCTCCCCCTCTGAGTCCTGCTGCACAGAGACGATGATGTTTTATTGATAACAGCACTGCAGTAATGTGTATCACCTGTTATATCTGCTTTCATTTCTACCGACTGAAGGTCTTGTTTTTATACATGCGTTTTACTAACCTGCTTCCAGGGTTTACCAGATATTAAATGAAGAGAGTTCCAACCCAGAATCTCATCACCAATCAGAAGGCAAAGCAGCTGATACAGACAACCCGTTTGTTACCCCCAAAAATGTGGGTCACCCTACAAATGGCCAGTTAGGTAAGTGAGATTACAGGGGTTCACTGGTATGTTGATTATTCGGCTATGAGTAGATGCTTCACCCCCTGACATCTTTTCTGTAGCATTAAATGCCACCACGGCTGTGAAGAGGGTGAAAACCCGCCTGAGAGAAGAAAAGGAAGAGCAACCGGAAGATCCAAAATGTGTGATTGGCCGAATACTGAACCCAAACCCCCCAAACCACCATCGGGTACCAGCAAAAGGTGAGGTCCTGCTGTGTCCCCGGGATTAAGTATTGTGCAAGGGGACTTCTTAAGCTGGCCATACGTTAGAGAGCCTTGGTTGCGATATTTACGTTTCCCATGCGCGCGTCTCTGAAATTCCCTATTTTTATTGAAGGAAAGAAAAAGCGCTCTTCACGCGCCCCCTCTAGTCACAGGACGGAGTCTGCAGCCTCGGCTTGTGAGCTGTCTAGCTGCAGTCAGTCCAGTCTGGATGTCCTGAACCAGATGATGCAGGAAGTAGAGGAGGAATTGGAGGACTATGAGAGGCAGACTGGCCGGGAGGCCGACACCATGCCAAAGGCTCAGGGGCTGACCGGATTCACCATGTCCCTGGTCGGCTCCATGCGGCGGCTCGTGTCTTGTTTGAAGGAGGTGAGGCTAGACTGGACACAGTGACTACCCGCCGACTGCTCCATTTATTTCTAAAACTGCTGTTTATAAATAAAAAAAAAAAAAAAAAAAGGCCATTTTCTTCTATACGTACAATACTTTGGAGAGCTTCAGGTGATTAACCCTTTAATTACCAAAGGTCATTGATGTGAAGGGGAACTATATACTAAGCTTTGGGTATCTACCTCTTCGACATCCTTTAATTGAAAATAAGTATACTATGGATTCTTGGTCCCAGATCCCCCCCAGAGGAGCAGGAGACCCCAAAAACCACATAGGTATAGTCTGTGGCTGTACATCCCTCGGCAGCACTGCTGGTGTTGTTGGTTGCCATCGGTCCTAACAACCGGTGATTGAAGCGGAGATGGAGCCTGCACTGGGTTATAGCCGACAGTGGATGCACCGGCCTCGCAGGCCGGGGTATCCACCGTCAGCCAGCCATAACCCAGTGCAGGCTGGCTATAGTGGTCTGGATATAACTGCCACATGGCCCGTGTCCAGACCACGGTCTGCTATTTAGGGACCCCCTGCTATGGATAATAACCTTATTACAAAAAGCAATAGACAAATCCAAATGTATTAGTAAATAGCCAAAATTTCTAAAGCCAATGAAAAAAAAGAACTGTGTCTTATGGTTAAATAACGTTATACACAATAAATATCAGTGTTTCATTAATACTAGGGATGCACCGATACTGGTTTTCTAGTATCGAGTACGAGTAACGATATATTTTTTTTCCGGTACTCTCCAGTACTGGTGCCGTGTGCCCAGGTGATCAGGAAGTCGGATCATGACCCGCCGCCCAGGGTAGACAGGAAGCCAGGCTGCCTAGCAACAAGTGAAGCTGGCTTCCTAGCCAATCAGGAAGCCGGGTGACAC